TCTCTCTCTCTCTCTCTCTCTCTCTCCTTGACACCCGTTCTCCTACCTCCCACTCCCCATTCGCCTCTTTTTTTTTTTTTTTTTTTTAATAAATTCTACCCGCGACAACAGATAGGAGTGATGGTACGAGCATGCACTCCTACCTGTCTTGCACGGGGCTCCAGTCTATTGGTGGGGAGCTACACCTGCTGGAAACTGGGTCCAGAGTCCCCTGAGATACAATGTTTAGACAATACATCAGCACATTCTGGGAACCGGGCCCAGCGTCCCTCATGATACTACAGATGAAGATGCAGACACTAGTGATGATGATCAGCCTCCTTATGATGATGATGATGATGATGATGATGATGATGATGATGATGTCCGAGGGGGGCTGAGCAACAGTGACATGGTCAGGAGATGCAGCTCCGCAAGAGGGTCAGCACCAAGAGGATGGGAACCAGCAAGAAGTGGACATGGTGAGGGACCATCAGCTACAATTTCGTGATGGACAGACATTGACTTGCATACTCCCTTAAGGCCAGCGTCCGACTTTCCGGACTTGTTCCCCCCCAACCCACTATCGATGGTGGAGATTCTGCAGGAGGCAGCTTAAGGGGATGGAGGAGAAGGGGAGGAAAGAGGTGTAGGCTCCGATGCCCCCTGGAGCAGACACCTCCACACCCCGGCCCCCCCCCCCGGGCCTCAGCAACTTTGACTTCTGTTGGCACAGGATGTACTGTTTTGTACTGTTTGTATTCATGGGACGCTGGGCCCGGCTCCCAGCAGGTGAGGCTCCCCACCAATAGACGGAGCGGCCCGCCAGGCAAAGCCTCAATCCCGGTGGTTCTCTTACCACCACCAGGATAGTGGCCTTGTATAAGGGCCTTAAACCACCAGTACCTCCCCCACTGTTGGGAAATTACGTGATACTGGCCAGTACCCGAACTTTTCGGGGATCGGCAGAGCCTCGGCGTGGATTCCCAACAGTGGGTACCAACTCCGATTATTCGTTATTTTTTTGTTTTTTTTGTTAGTTATTTTATTTCGTGGTCGGACGTTTTTTTGGCCGTGGACCAACGTGGACAGCGGCGGCGATGTGGAAACGCTACCGGGTCCCTCCGGCGCTGGTTGTTGCGTGGCAGTTGGCCGGTCGGTGGTGTGCGGTCGCCGGTGGATGGTCCGTGGTGGGCGACCGGGTTCGCGGG